CACAGAACTCTCTTAAATTGAAGTGAGTAATGTTCAAGTTTCCGAAGCATAAAATGATTTGTCAGTGCTAAACATCTGGTATTTATTTCAATTGCACCTTGCTACCTGTCTCCTGCCAAATTCAAATTTGAGTTCAACTTACTGTACAGTTAATAACACCGGTTAGTTAAATTCGATCTTATTAATAACGCAGTATGATATGTATAGCAGCATTAAATTTATAGGCTAAATGATCGAGTTTGTGCTCTTGCCTTTATTTAGCTATCTAGATGTAATTTTACTGTTTAAGCGACTTGTACGTGTGTTTTTACTAATTATAAAAAGGAATTTAAGATGTGTAGATCCCAAGATGTGTGTTTTTTACTGTCTAGCAAACTTGTCTGGCACAAAGCACAAGTGTTGAAACCCAGCCAACACCCATTGGTTAATTAATCTAACAGTCCGTTTGGACATTTAAAAAAAATCACTTTTTTTCTGAAAAATCAGTGTTTGACCATAAAATTTTTAAATTTTACTTAGTTTAATTTTGGAATTTTTCGAAAATTTAAAAAAAATTAAAAAAGCTATTTTTTAAAATTCACTCACAAAATTTCAAAACAATCCAAAATTATATTCAATGTTCAAATACAAATTCTAATTTTCAAATACCATTTTTCTTTTAAAAAAAATTCATTTTTTTTGGAATTTTACGTTTCTTATGTCCAAACATACACTAAATAATTACTCGACACTTGAGCTAAAAATAACCAACAGAAATATATTATATGTATATTTTTGTATAATTAAGTATTAATATACAAACTAAAAAACATAAACAATGTATTCGGCCAAAATAGTGAGAGGCGTCCTAAACCCCCTAATTTCGTGCCCCAAAAGAAATATACAAACAAATACATAAAACTCTTTGTATGGACTATAGCTTTTTGGTCCACATTTCCTTTAATTCAACCAACCACGTGAATCTAATGCAAAAGCAGTCCTCTGTACATATTTTGCTAGTGCATCTTATCTCATTTACATATACATTGTTTCGGTTTTTTATTTAATAAACTGATATAGATAGAGAAAGTTTGTTTCATCCCCTTCTTTTATGGGATTCAGATATCACTGTAAACTGTTACTCTATAGGGGTGAGAGTACGACTACCAATATACAACTACAACAACAACTCAGTATACAGAGGCGGACCTACGTTGTGAGTTGAGGGGTCACAGGATCCCGTTAACCTCGACAAAAATACTGTATATATATATTATATATATCTGTCTATATATATGGGACCCCTTAAATATGTAAGATGTGCCCCAAAATACAAGAAGGTGGATGGAGAAGTGGTTGTGTTGAGCATTTGAGTTTGCTTCTTGTCTCATCCCCTTCTTTTATGGGATTCAGATATCACTGTAAACTGTTACTCTATAGGGGTGAGAGTACGACTATCAATATACAACAATAACAACTCAGTATTAGTATAATTATACTAGTGGGGTTTGGGGAAGGTAGTGTGTACGCAGACCTTATCCCTACCCAAGACTCCCTCATTCCAAGAACTCCCCACCTTGCTCTTGGGGTGACTCGAACTCACAACCTCTTGGTTGGAAATGGAGGGTGCTCACCACTACAGCAATTCACTCTTGTCACTACGACTACCAATATCCTCCCTAAAATTATGGAATATGTTGAACGTTATTACATGCCCGGTGTCGAGTACCATTTTTTTGGTTATTACTCAAATTGGACCCGACTAAATCTGGATTCGCGCCGGAAAGTCCCACATTGAGGGATAAAACGCTCTTTAACAAAGGCGATTCCATACCTAGGGATTCGAACACGAGAACTCTGGTTAAGGATGAAAGAGTACTTACCACTCCACCATACCCTTGTTGGTCGATGTACCGTTTTGCTATGTATATAGGCACTGCAGCATTGCACATGCAGACATGCTAAACAAATTTGTACTATTTCTTACCTATAGTTATATTTGAATGAAAAAGAGAGAACAAAATAAGTATAGCGCAGGTGCCCCCGTGTGCTATACCTATTTTTGATCTCCTTTTTTTTTTTTTTTTTTTTAAGTTTATTATATTATTTTGGTTGCTCGTGATAAATTGTGCGTTACTTTGGTTCCAGACAACTTAACTTATAGCATGTTTCGTCAAGCTGGAAAAATTAGCTTATTTTAAGTACTTTTTTCAAAAGTGTTTTTTAAAAAAAGACTTGGAAAAAAACAATTTGTGTTTGACTAATCAATTTGAAAAACACTTTTGAACAATAATTTGTGTTTGGTCAAGTTTTTCAAAAAGTGCTTTTATGTGTCAAATTACAAATAAGGATATGAAGTGATTTGCTTAATAGTTAATATTATATAAGTAGATAAATAATTATAAATTTTTATTTTTAAAGATAATAGTTAAGTTTTTTTATTTTATTTAAGTAAAATATAAAAATAAAATTGAAAAGTACTTTATTCTTTTAAGATAATTTAAATATATCAAAAGTTATCCAATAAATATGAAAGTTCATCCCAAAAGTCATTTTATATTATTTAATAGTTTACACTAAGTAAGGTTATCTTGGTATATATAATATTTTGCAAAGGGTATTTTTGGTAAGAAGAAAAGTCAAAACTGATTCTGGAGAGAAGCTATTTTTTTCTATTTTTTCAAAACTGTTTCTGCTTCTAGCCAAAAGTACTTTTTTTTTTATAAAAAAAAAGCTTGGCCAAACATCTCAAATTGAGAAAAAAAAATACTCTTTTTTTGAAAAAAAAAACATTTTTAGCATGAGAAGGTTGGCCAAACAGACTAATAGTATGGTATAGTTTTCAAGCTTCCTGTGTTAAATTGAACACTCGTGCTGCTATGTAGATAGAGTGCTGAGTGCTCTATCTTTTGTGCTCTGACAACGTAAAACGTATTTACATTGTATGGCCAAAATGACCTAATAAGTTGTTTATAATAAGTCTAACTTGATGATCACTAAAAAGATAAAGTAAACAACTTGGTGTAATATATAAAAATATATATAAAAAATTAACCTATAGATTAGCTTCATCTGGAGCACCTAGACAGGAGAGTCTCCTCTATATAGTTACTTGCTAATTCAATTTCCTAGAATTTCCTAAAGTAGGTTTAGGAGCAACATTTTATTCCTAAAGTAGGTTTAGGAGCAACATTTTATGCTCCCTCCTACTTGGTAGTATAATTTTCTAAATAATAACCACCTAATATTAAAGTTAATAAAGTTGGAACTGGGCTATTTCCTCAAAAGATTCTGTTAGATTTAGGTCCAGTTTGAATAGTAAAAGATTTGATCCTCGTGTATTTTACATTTGTTAGTTTATTCTTGTGAAAATAGCACAGACTAGCCAGTTTTCGGACTGATAATTTAAAAATAGCTAGTATTTGTAAAGTCATTAAAAAATAGCCACTATTTTGCTGCAACACGGACCGGTCCAGTATAATATACTGAAAATTGGTGCACATGTGTATGAGCTTTTCGCATATTATGCTGGAACTCCAACACGCGGAAAGTTCCAGCATAATATATTGGAGATTGGAGCACCTGTGTATGAACTTCCAGCATATTATGCTGGATCGGTATATTATACTGGAACTCCAGTATATTATGCTAGAATATTTTTCGCATTTTGAACAGTGTTTTCGTTCAGATTTATCTTTACATGAAAAGTGGCTAAATTTTGATTACTTTTGAAACTGTGACTATTTTTCAATTACCACTTACAAATCTGGCTATTTTTGAATTTCTCACTTTATACTTTGCACCTGCACGAGAAAAAAAAATTGTATAAAGGATAATTGGTGTTTCACTCTCGTACAATCAGTGCCGCCTCTTAGATGCTCTCAAAACCGAATACTTTCAGAAGACTTATAAATTTAATAGTTTCATAGGTTGGCATTGCTATTTTTTTGTGGCAGTATAATATCACCAAAGCCAACAATTACTATAATGTTTTCAGATTCGGATTTTAATTCATGTAAAACAAAACATTTTTAATGGTTAATAGAGTAAAAGAATAATTTTTCTTGTTTAAACCGAAAATCCAAGCAAATAAAAGAGAGAAATCAATGTTCTGTGTTCTTAGCAGCTAAGTAAAAATTGTTGAATTATTAAATCGTGTCATGAAAATCATTTAGAGAGAATCTTAAAAAATGAAATAAAGAAAAACTAAATGAGATCGCACTTAGATTGATAAAAATAAAAAATAAAAATCGAATTGCTAAATGCTAGTCAAACAAGCAAACAAACTAGCCAGCAACTATGATAATGATATGATCATAACATCAACCTAATAAGTTAGCAGAAAAATAAAGGTAATAATAGGCAACGATGTATACAAAAGATTCCCAATCTTTACTTTCTCTCTTAGTAAAATAACAGACTGGGAGGGAGAAATAACTACAGTATAATTTAAGTTTTTAGTCATTCCCTGCCTTTCGATATATTTTGGATTTAACTCAAAAAAGTTAAATTTATTCTAAAATTAATTAAATTAACCATAAAGTCAATTTAGAACACCCAATATTATTCTCCAACCAAAAGTACTCCATGTTTTTCCTCTTGGAACATATAAGAATATTATATGGTAATATTAATAATCAAACAGAGAGAATATTGTACTCCAACCAAACTAAAAGGCAGTTCGGTGCATTAAACTCTCGTTATGCGTAGAATTTGAGGTAGGGCCGGATTACAACGGTATATTATACGCAGTCTTATCCTATATTTCTGAAATAGAGTTGTCTCCACAGCATGAACTCGTGATCTCATGGTCACAAGGTAGCAAGACAGTAACTTTACCAATTACACCAAGACCTAAAAAGGACACTTCGAAAATTTGGAATAGGGCCGAATTATAACGATCTATTATATGCAGTCTTACCATATAGCTGTTTTACACATCTTTACTAGCTACCTTAATCTTCTGGTCACAGTAAAATAATAACTTTACCGATAACGTCAAGAATTTAGCTATTTTTACATCTTTACTAGCTACCTTAATCTTCTGTCACAGCAAAACAACAACTTTACCGATTACCTAAAGAATTTAGTCAGAACATCCAACCAAACTATGTTTTCTTTTTCCTCGTGGAGTAGAGGATAATGCTACTACTAGTATAATGGTATAGTATTTTCACGTTAGAGGAAAGATTCAAACACTAAAAAACAAAAACCTCACTTCAATGTGCCTTTCAAACATCGATAATTCCAAAAAGTCATCTCCCTTTTCACATATCTCCCCCACCTCCATTACTACGCCCTTTCCTTCCTCACCACTCATTTTTTTCTACTGCAAATTCTTACATTCTTGCCATGTTCTTTTTCTGACAACAAACTCCATAGCTAGCTCCTTCAATTCTCTTTCTCAGTTTAGTGATCATGCTCCAGAGTCTACAATTCTCTGTATCTGCATCTGCTTCTGCTTCTAATTCATCTTCTTCCATGTCTTCTAAGCGCTCCATTGTTGATTTTACACCTGTTCCCTCCGATGAAGATCCTCTTCATCTTACTAAACGACCTCGCAACAACGAAGAAGAGCAATTCGAAGAAGGCGAAGACCAACTCCCTGTCGATACTGACTCAGTTGGTCTTCGCCTTCTCGGATTACTCCTCCAGTGCGCCGAGTGCGTCGCCATGGAGAATCTCGACGATGCAGGTAATTTATTACCTGAAATCGCCGAGCTTTCGTCCCCGTTCGGCTCTTCAGCCGAACGAGTCGCTGCTTACTTCGCCGAAGCTCTTTCGGCGAGAATCATCAGCTCACATCTCCGTTTTTACTCTCCGCTCAACCTCAAAACCCTAACCCTAACACACTCCCAAAAGCTCTTCACCGCTCTTCAATCGTATAATACGATAAGTCCTCTCATCAAATTCTCTCACTACACTGCGAATCAAGCTATATACCAAGCGTTGGAGGGTGAAGATCACGTCCACGTCATCGATCTCGATATCATGCAAGGACTTCAATGGCCAGGATTGTTCCAAATTCTCTCCTCTCGATCGAGGAAACTCCGGTCCGTTAAGATCACCGGCGTCGGATCCTCTATGGAGTTGCTGGAATCCACCGGCCGGAGACTCACCGAGTTCGCTAACTCGTTCGGCTTGCCGTTCGAGTTTAAACCGCTAGAGGGCAAAATTGGAAATATAACAGACCTGAGTCAACTCGGAGTGAAAATGGGCGAGACTATAATAGTCAATTGGATGCACCATTGCCTTTACGATATAACGGGGAGCGATTTAGGAACGTTCAGATTACTAACTTTGTTACAACCCAAATTAATCACGATAATTGAACCGGACCTAAGTCACGGGGGAAGTTTTTTGGGCCGATTCGTTGAGGCATTGCATTATTATTCGGCTTTGTTTGATGCGTTAGGGGATGGATTGAGTGTGGAGAGTGTAGAAAGGCATACAGTGGAGCAGCAATTGTTTGGTTGTGAGATTAGGAATATTGTAGCTGTAGGTGGGCCCAAGAGGACAGGGGAAGTACCAGTAGAGAGGTGGGGTGATGAGTTGAAACGGATCGGGTTTTTACCCGTTTCACTATCGGGTACTCCAGCTGCTCAAGCTAGTTTGTTGCTAGGGATGTTTCCAAAAGGGTATACTTTGGTTGAAGAAAATGGGTGTTTGAAATTGGGATGGAAAGATTTGTCTTTGTTGACTGCTTCTGCATGGCAACCGTGTGATTAAGATGCTTTTTTGAGGTTCAATTTGAACCGTTGGATCATGTGCTAATGTCATTGTGCTATAGAATTTTGGACATCCTAATAAGTGAATTGCTCTTGTTCACTTTGGTCCTAATTCTGAGAAGACCATACTTGTATTTGTCATTCTTGAAAATTATTCTTTTAAGAAATAATTGCAATAGATCTGAGAATTTTTTTGTCCTTTCTTTTGTTTTTACCCGACTCTCCTTTTCCATTACGGATCGTTTGGTAGCTGATTACAGGTAAGTTATTCATATGTTAGGATTAACATAACTAATATTATGATTTGCTTTTTTCATTGGGGGTATAAGTAATACATGAAAAAGTTATACAATAAATCTATGTAGTATTATTTATGTAAGGTAAAATGTGAAATAGTTAATATATGTATTAGTAATAGGGTCAAAACGGGTTGACTCAATAATTGAGCGGGTCAAATGGCCCGCCTAAGAGTCACTTGGGCTAAGATGAGTTGGATCAAGATGAGCTAAAATTTGGATCATAACACAACCCCAACTATTTGACCCGCCCAAAAGTTACTTAAACTAAGATGGGTTGGGTTAAGATGAGCTAAAATTTGGATCATAACCCAACTCGCCCTACTCTTATCAAGCTTTACTTAATATGTGTTATTTTTTTTATGAATTGTATAATTATTAGATAAGATTTTTTTCTTTTGTTATGGTCATATATAATATATCAAACAAAAAAAATTATTTCTAAAATATTTTGGTAAAGTTACTCATGGATCAATTTGAGCTAACAATTAGCCAAACTTTAAAGGGATTTTTACCTAACTATACTATATTAAAAACCTATTTACCTATGTTCTCTATGTTTTACAGTTTTTAATAAGTATCTAGGTTTTTCTTACAACTTGTATGCATTGCTTCTTAAAAGGCTCCTACCTCATTATTAGTACATTCAATTAAGGGATTCAATTACATCAATTCCTTTTTTTTTCTCCCTTCTCCCCTTCTCTCTCCTTTAAAAAAAATAAATCAAAATCCCTTAATTTACGTCCGGAATCTCAATCTTCTCTCTTCACCATTGCCGACAACTTTATATTATTAAAAAATATTCAAAAATTGTATGATAATTGTATCATAATTGTAGTTGAATTGTATCGGATACATCAATACCTAAAACATAAATGCATCATACTTGTATCTAACTTGTATCTAGTACATTAATACACAAAATAATACCTGATACTATACTAATAAATTAATATACAATTATCATATTTGTGATATAAATTGTGAAATTCGTCACGAATTCACAACTGCTCGTAACAATATACAATGAATATACAATTATCATATTTGTGATATAAATTGTGAAATTCGTCACGAATTCACAACTGCTCGTAACAATATACAATGAATATACAATTATCATACATTTGTAATATAATTCCTGCAACAATTATGATACATATACAATTATAATACAATCGCGATACATTTTCTGAAAAATTGTGATACAATTATGATCTTCATCTTCCTCAAGTTTCAATCACAATTCTAAACTAAAAATTTAATATAATAGTATTATAATTGTATTAGTATTGTGTCCACAACTTGATTGTAGAACAAATTTTCGAATTTCTTCTGTATTATATAAATAAGAAAGAGATGTTGGATGATTGAAAGAGAGAAATCAAATATCAAAAGTTTTGGAAGAGGAAAGAATCTGCAATTTTGGGGGGATAACAGTGGATGATTGGAAGAGAATCGGATATCAAAAGCTTTGGAAGAGGAGTGAGTAAGCGAGATTTTTGGGTTAAAAAGATTTTGGGTATTAGTGGATAAGGGAGAATTTTTAGCGGTGGGTAAGTATAAATTTGGGTAATTGTTAAAGAAAGAGTGAAGATGTTTTTGTAATCCTTTGAAAAAGGAAGAGAATCTTAAATGTAGGGGGATTATGTGTAACTGATAAGCTATATTTAAGGTATGTTACACTTCCTCTTTTTTATGATTTTGTATAAAACTAGTAAATATAGGAATATAAAGTAATTAATAAGGAACCTAAATAAAGGTAGTAAATAGGTTTCTAATATAGTATATTTAGGTAAAAATCCCAACTTTAAATTTAAATGGATTGAGATGAGTTGGGTCAAGATGACGCCTGAGGTCAATAAATGGACGGGTCAATAATAAACCCAACCTTAGGCGTGTTGGACGAGTCATTTGGGCTGGGGCCAAATTTGATAGCCCTATAATAACCAAAAATTACAATCCATAAATTACTAGTCTTACATTACTAATCCTTTACATAACTAATCTGCATAACTAATCCCTATCTAACTAAACCTTTCGTAACTCTAACAAGCAGCCAAACGATCGCCTAGTGAATTACTTATGTGGAAGATTAGCACTTACCATTTCGGGATTTAATTAAAGCAAACGACACACATATCACCAAAAGCTGCAACTTCCGGACTTCAGCAAGAAAACGAGTATCTTCAACAATGGATACTTTCTTAAATAAACAAATTCATGACCAAAACTAAATACAACCTTGATTACTACATTAATCAATTAAGTTGAAGGAATTATGAAAATCAGTACCCCAACAAACTTCCAGGCCCAACTATCGAGTAAGATACCAACAACAATTATCCAACTCCTTTTCAAAAATCACAAAGGGGGAAAAATAAACGTACCCCAAAAGAAAAAAAAAGAATAACCCATTCTCAAAACAAGACCAAAACTCGAGTACCTTGATACTAATATCTTTTACCAAGAATTATTCCCACGATCACTGAAACTAGAGCAACACCCAAAATAAATTTCAGAGTCATGGCAGAAGATCCTTCAATATGCTGAACTTGTTGTTCACTGGAGGATGGTTGAGTTGAAGAGACTTCCGTCTTCTTCTTGCTCTTTCGCTTTGTTGGAATAGAGAGCATTTCTCCAATATCCCTAGATTTCACCTCTACATTATCCTGCAATTTCAATTAAAAGCAATTACAACTCATTGATCTTTTGAGCTATTTCACAATCGCTATGGTCACAGTTATTAGTACATAATTTACATTGCTCTCGTCCATAATAATTCTATGCCACCATTCATCTAAAAGACTCAAGATATAAGATTATGAGATGTCCTTGTTCATTTAGTTACTTATATATGCCATCTTTCTTAATTCTTGTAAACAGGAGGCCATTAAAGATGTGGAAATGATAGAATTAAAAAATGCAGATTCCATTCAAGATACCCCATCCCCAGCAAATATGCTTCAAAATAGAAACTGACCTTCTGCTTCAATGTAGCATCAGCCTGCTGCAGTTTCTCCTCAAGTTCCTTAACTTGATTTTGTAGAAGTAGGAGTTCTTTGCTTTTGGCTTGCAGCTCCTCTGATGAACTCTTCAGAGTTGCCTCATGCTCTAACCCTTTATGGGACATAGCCTCTTTCTGTATTGTTGGACATTTCAAATGTGAATTAGTAACCAAGCTATATTTTGTAAATGTTTAATTTTCTTCCCATATTAGAAGAGAGGAGAAACCAGAAATATTTACTGCGATGACAACCTAATATTTGAAAAGAGCTACAGAATTGGTTATAATTTAGTTAATAGTAGTACTATTAAGGAAGGTTACTTGGTTGTGTATTGAACTGTCTAAAAATTACATTACCTCTTTTTCCACTTGAGCCTCAGCACTAGCTAATTGCTCTTCAAGCTCCTTGATACGGCATTGCAATTCAGACTTCTGATGAATCTCAGCCTGGAAAACTTCTAATTGACTTTTCAGAGAATCTTCACTTGACTTGAGTTCTTTCAACTGTTCTTCAAGATGTGCTATGACATTTTGCAGCTCCTTCTTCGAGGTTTGATGTGTTTCATTGAGCAAGTTGTTTTCCTCCAAAATGGATGATAACTGTAAACAGTGAATTTTAAGAATAGTAAGTTGTCAGATGTAAAATAACACCTGCAGTAATCGCTGCATAGTATGAAAATATCATTTCAAAGTGTAGCTAGGCACTAACCTGAAGTTGTAGCTTTTGGCCTTCAGAAGTAAGCTGCTCTTTTAAGTTGTCTATAACCTGCTTAGAGGATGTAAGCTCTTCAACTGCTTCGTTCTTCTCGGCAAATGCAGCTGACACTTTGGCTTCTAAATCATTGAGTTTAGACTCATTTGAGGCCATTTTCCCCTTTAGCTCTGAGTTCTCTTGAGTTAGTCCTTCTCTCTCCTTTTCAAGTTCGGTACACTTCCCTTTCAGCTCTTCAACGACGCTTTCAAGATCACTCAAACTTTTACGGCTCTGCTCTAGTTCCACCTTTTGAGTTTCAGCCAAAGTGGCTGTTTCATGAGCCTGCTCTTCATATGTTTTCACCAGAGCTTCAAGAGACTGTAGCTTATTTATTAGCTCTTTACCTTCCAACTCTTTCTGGGTGAAATTTTGAATGGCTTCATGCAGCTTTGCTTCTGTTTCTGATATGCGGGCTTCAGTTGCCGATTGAAGTTCAGAGGCTCTAGAATGCTGCTCTGTCATTTCTGTGAGAGTGTTCATATGAGAAACTAGTTGTTGAACACTGGCCTCCCTTTCTGCATGGGCTGAGCTTAACTGTTCTTCAAGATCACTCACCCTGTTCTTAAGCAGCATATTTGTCTCCGCTAACTGTTGATTTTCAGATAAAATGTCTGCAGCTTTACCCTCTGCCTCCAAGATTTTCTTTTTGAGGTCTTCATTGTCAGTTTCAGATGAAGCCAGCTTCACCAGAACCTGATCCAGCTCTTCCTTAACAGCTGAAAAACTTTCAGTAGATTTAGCAATCTGCTCCTCATAACTCTTTAGCTGATCTTCAAGAGCCTTCAGTTTCTCATTCAGTGTTTGTGCCTCTGAATCTCTTGTAACAAATTTTCCAGTGGCCTCTTGGATTTTGAGCTCGGAATCCCTTTTTAGTGTATCATGCAATGACTCAAGCTCTATGCTTCTAGCTGTTGCTTGCTCCAAAACTCTTCCTTGTTGCTCAAGCTGCTCTTCTGCTGACTTGAGCTTTTCCATCACCTCACTCTCTTTCAATCCAGCAGCGTTAAGATCGTTCTCAATACCTTCCAGTCTCTGTTGAGTGGCATTCAATTCATTACGCAGGACCTCAAGCAGGTTTTCTGTTTCAGCTAGTTTTTCAACTGAATTGGTGTAGACATCCTCTAAGTTTTTCTTCTCCTCTGTCACATTGTTCAGGCATTGACTCAATTCCTTTTCTTTCTCCTTGGTCTCCTCCAGTGCAACCTCAAGGCTTGATGATTTCATTTGGAATGCTTCTACTTCTGCTTCAAGTTCAGATGCCCTGTCAGTGTGCTTCTTAGATTCTGCTTCTGTCGCCTCACATTTCTTCTCTAATGTGCTTATTTGTTCTTCAAGCTCCTGAATCCTATATTTCTCTGTTTCGAGCAATAACTCCAAGTCACTCACCCTTTTGCCCGCTTCATCTACTTTCGAGTGGGATACCAGCATCAAGTCCTCTAATTCACGGCTGCGTTGATCAGTGATGTTGGCCCGACCCTCATGCTCAGTGCACTTCTCAGCGACAGTCTTAAGCTCCGCTTCAAGTTCTAAATTACGAGCAGTTGATTTGACCAACTCAGAATCCAAATGAGCTATCTTCTCCTCGAACTCCTGCAATTTAGTATCCAACTGTTTCCTTTCTTCCAGGGTCTTCTCAAGAATGGCATTTAGTTCAGAAACTTTCCCAGAGAACTGCTCTAGTTCCCTCTTAGTATCATTGCTTTTCAGTTCCACCAGATTTATTTGTTGTTCTAGCTCCACATTCTTTTCTTCAGCTGCAATACAACGTTTCTCCATTTCTCCAAGTTGCGATTTTGCTTCTTCTACCGCAGTGTTGGAGACTTGTAGCATGTCCTCAAGCTCAACATTTTTCTGGTTGGCAGTAGTTAAGGCATTTCCAGATTCATGGTGAAGCTCTTCCAACGATTTCAGCTTCTGTTCTAGCTCCGCACTGTTTGCTAAAGCTTGAGAAAGAAGAGAATCTGCTTTGCTGAAATTCTCATCTGAAAGCTGCAATTTCACCTCTAGATCACCACATAATTCCTTCATCTGGACCACAGTGTTGTTTAGCTCGGCTACAGCAGCTTCAAGAGCTCCTTTGTCTGTAGATAGTTTGGCCATCTCCTCCTGTGACACTGAGAGCTGTCTCTCCTGGCTTTTCAGTTTAGCATCGTATTGTTCCTTTAAATCTACTTCCTCCTGAAGCTTCAACTTTATGTCTTCCAACTCAGATACTTTAGCTTGAAGATCTTCTTTAGTGGATGATAATAGAAGCTCAAGAGCCGAAAAATCCTCTTTTACCTGAGATTCAGAAGCTTTTCTAATGTCCAACTCTTGGCTTAATTCATCTATAAGAGCTTCTTTTGATGCAAGTTTATTCTCAATATCTTGTGCTTGTGATTTTGAGATCTCTAGCTCTCCTTGAACTCTAGAAAGCTCCGAAGCTGTACACGTGAGTGCTTCTTCAACCTTCTGATTTTCAGCAATCTTCTCATTTAGGCCCTTGAGTTCTTCTTGTAAAGAAGCCATCTGGTCTTCAACTTCTTTTGCACTCTGCTTCGACAACTCCAGCAATCTCTCAAATTCCAAGGCCCTCGTCGTCTCTGATTCTGCAAGTGAGCCACTTTGTTTGTGCAACTCCTCAAACTTTTTAGCCTCACCTGCAGAAGTCAGCAGCTCTTGCTCGAGCTCTTCCATCTTTTTCTTTGAGCTTTCAAACTCGAGGCTAAGCCTGTCAAATGCCTCCTTAACATTAACATGCTCCTTGCTATTCAATTCTTGAGCTTGCAATGCCTCTTGCAACGCTTTAAGCTCAGTGTTATATCTACTTTCTGCTTCTACAATCTGTTCTTGCAATTTCTTGTGATCAAGTTCAAGCCCTTCAAATTTCTTATCGGTTTCCTGCAGCTTCTCTTTTGTGAGCGACAATTCATCCTTTAACTTCATATTTTGAGATTCAGTGTCTTTTAATGCTCCAGCAACTCTTTCCAGTTCAAGCTCAAGTTCTTTAGCCTTTTCTTGTGCTTCCAGATATTCTCTGCTAGCCGATGAAATACTCGAGCTGTGCTCCTCTTCAGACACTTTGCCCTCTGAAGGGGAAGTTTCAGCTGCAGCATGTGAACCATCCTTCGAATCCAAAGCTTCCTTCTCTACTTTTATGAACTCTCCATCAAAAGCAGACTCTTCATGTTCCTTCTGTCCTTCTGCCTCGCCATTGGGCACCTGTAATAAGATTTACCCCAAAAGAAGATGAGGAAGAAGAATAGGGAATTTCTTAACCAGTTAAGACATAGAAAAATGATTTACTCGAAATCAAGTAAATTGATCTCCCATTGTTAATGTATTATATGCAGTGAGTAGAAAAAAAATTAAGATTTTCATAGACTATTCATTACATCACGTTTGAAAACAGTCTAGTAAAATTCATGTTTTTTTTTTTCCATCTAAAACTATGAACTTATAATCATTTTAAACCATATAAATATCAATATCAACCACAGGCATTTACAAAAATTTACAGCTTACCAGCTCCAACATTGATACCATATAAATATCAATATCAACCACAGCCATTTAAGAAAATCATATTCTTGATAGTGAAGTAAAAAACAAGTAACGAGCATTACCTTAATAGGATCATCTTTGCATTCTATCTTTTCTGAAACCTGTACCACTGGTACATCTGTGGTTGCTGCCTCTGCTTCCATATCAAAATAATTTTCACCGTGTGAAGTTCTTACAGTATCTGGATTATAGAAAACAGCAAAGTTAGTAAGTTAAAGATCAATTAACAAGTATTGCTTTTTAAAAAGTCTTCACTTCACAATAACATTAGTTTACTTCTTTAGTAACTTATTCAACTATATGAATATGGTACGTTAGTTCCAAACATATAGTAATTTAAAAGATATTTAAGAAAAAACAAAAAAAGAGAGAAGAAAACGCTAGCTGTGTGGATTGGTGTATACAAAATACTGACATATAATTAGTGCCCATGTTACAGAAGAAGTATCAATGTAAAGAATAATTGACTTTTTATTTTAAAAAGCAAAGGAAAAGAAAGGAGCAATAATTCGATATGGACATAATATTTATATTTCGCCCAAACTTAAATATAATTTCAATGGTTTCGTAAAGCTCTGGCATCAAGATCTGACATAGTTCTAACATCACAACAATAGTGATTGAAATGTGACTTTTTTATTTTATTTTAAATCCTTTAAAGATCATTTAAGGAATATCAAATCTGACTATTTATTAAGTTTGCATACATTAATATTCTTTAATAAAATCACAGAAAGGTTATTGTGTTTTTTTTTATATTAGCAAAACAGAAAAAAATAAAAAAGAAAGCGGTGGTAACTAAATCGACCAGCTACACAATATAGATTTTCTTTTTTTTTCTACTTTCCTTTTCGGATGGGGGAGTGAGAATATTATTAAATATATAGTTATGAATCGAAAAGCAAAAAAAAAAGAAAAAAAAGAAAAAAGGTCTTTGCTGGCTCTACAGACAAAGGGTATAGAAATAGTAATACTAACTCAACATTTGACGGGTGAGGCTGAGACTTATCATCTTATTTTTTGATATTATAAGCTAGTGAATGCATTATTTAATTGAACATTGCTTAAATGACCCAAAAACATGATAGCATTAGTCTATAATGTCGTGCACGAATCCTAAGTGGGACAGACACCAAAACATCATAAACATGGCAATTGGCATCTTCTTAGTTCCTGTCATCATTTGTTCCTTATAGCGTGGCCTCCTGCCTCCCTGTTGGCTGATAATGGAGATTCGGTTCCCTATATTTTACCTCCTTTCTACGGCTTCAATTGTTAAAAATGATTACAATTTACACAAATGATCTACGGTAAAAACTTATTAATAAATATATGACTTGTATTTGTATATAGATTTCAAGTATTTATGACTTAAGTATGTATTTTCATCTTATTAAATCACTTATTCATAATAAATTAATATAATTTAATATAAACACAGCGAATACTTCTGCGCATTTCTGCTACAGTCAACTTAGTAAAGGAAAAAGTACTAAAGTTAGTTTGGCCAAGTGAGCCAAGCCAGCTCATATATAATACTAGAAATTAAAAAGAATTTTAGACTATGATAAAGCACATAACAACAGCGAGAACACGATGAGGTCACAGATGCAACAAAAAAGAAATTCTACCAACTCCCGATACAAAGTTAAGAGTCCATTACATTGCATTTTATAATTAACCTACCACTATTGTTTTCGGATTCCACCTATCTTATATGAAAAATATTTACCTCGGATTCCACCTATTTTACTATTGTGTTCTTCGATATTCCTCAACCTTTTAGTGAATTAAATAAAAAAAATTTAAAACAGATCGCGTCTTAAGCCGTTAAGCGTCACGGAGTCTAAGCTTAGAGTCAAAATAATTAGTCAAAAAAGTAGAATAAGATTAGCTTAAATTATTCTACGGTGATTGTGTAATATTACAGTAATTTTCTCCTCGTAACGTCCCAACGCATGTTCTGTGGTAGATAAATAAATTTCCCACAAAGCAAGAAAATGGAATAGAGTACCCAAAATTCTTAACAAATGGACAACTGATAGAAACAAATCCCTATTAAAAGAAGAGAAATGAAAAAAAATAAATTAGAAAATAGGAATGGCGAAGCTTTTATTGTTTTTTTTTATTATTATTATATTAATTCCTAGCGTAAAATTTCAACAAAAAGACGAAGATGGAAAGCAAACTAAGACGAAGCAATTAAATGAAAAATTCTACCCAAGTGAAAGCCACCGGGGGTGTCAATAGATATTTAAAAATCGATAAAACCAACCGAATCGATTTGTAGGTTTTTTTTTAAAAAAATGTAGGTTTTTATATAAATATATAACCGTACTGATAATTAGGGTAAGTTTTTTATTTTACAAAAATAAACCGAAAAATACGGAACCGTACCAATTAAATTTTACATGTGGAAAATATATTTATTTAGTAAGTTTAAAAATAATAAGCATTAAATTTTTCTTTGGACCTTGAAATTATGAAAACGGTTATAAGTCAACGAGTAATTTAACTCAAAATATTAATTCCTAAAACCTATTATGCTACTTCTACTTAAACTAAGGACCCGTTTGGCCATATATTTTGCCAAAATATATTTGTTTTTTTTTTTTGACAAATACATGTTTAGCCATAGATTTAATCTACATTTTGGCAAATTCTCAAAACCCAAATCCCAAAATAAATGACCCAAAATATCACTATTACATTTTTTAAAAATTGCCCCAAACTTTTGTATTTTATAAAAGAGCCCATCATTTATTATTTTGTAACAATGCTGCTTCGTCGTCTCGGTATCTGATAGTGTATTATGTAGTTAATTATAAAAATAATAATTTTATACCAAATTCATTTATATTCAGGACTATGGTTTGCGATAATATAATGAACGTTATTGATAAAGGTATTATTGGGTATTTGTGATAATTTTTAGAACTTGTGGGTATAAGTCATGTTTCATGTTTACTCAAAAAAAAAGTGAAATATATTTTGAAAACTTATGTCCAAACACATTTTTATCTTCAAACCAAACTTCACCAAAATCAGATTTTTCAAAATAAATTTGGGAATTTATTGCCAAACGCTAGCTAAGTTATTTCCAGCATCTTAGCAAGACAGTATTTTAGTGATTATGAGTAGCAAACTACAATGTATTGAATATGTTTCCTTTCATATAATCTAGATTTATCTTTTTGAATATTTAATCTTCTATATACTTTATTCTTGAGTCCCATCTTAGTTAATATCTTTCCACTCGTGTGATTTATATTTTCTTTATCTTTGCTTGATTTCTTTTACGTTGCTGTAGAATAGTCGATGGATCTATACTCTGTTCATCTTTTATGTTTTTTTTAATTCATCACCCTTTAAGCACTAAGGGTGTATTGGGAGTTTTGTTAAGTCCTATAAAAGAACATATGCTATTGCATTCTAGTTCTTCTGGTGATTTTTACATGACATATAAAAAAATACCGAAAATCAACCGAACCATACCGATATCGAAGAGAAACCGATAATGACTGGAACGGTTTCGAAAAGTCTAATTTTGATTATACATAATAGAACAACTAAAAAATTAATATGATACAAATTTTATAAAATAACCGGCCGAATCGGATCATTTACCCTCATGAAAGCCACTATAATATCTAGCCTAGTGAAAAGTAACTTGTATTTAAGATGGAATCAAATCTAAATATGCTACTGATATTTTACAATTTTAAAATCACGCAGATTTTCTGTTAAAGAAAATAAAAAAGCTTGTGGATCCCACAAAAAGCGGGTTATATTCCGATCGCTTTGACGAAAATTAAACTACAGCTGAGCTAGCATGTCCTCATTCCCAAAGTCCAAAGGATCTAATCGTAACGAAAGGGGAAGAAAAAAGAAAATATTTATTTGCATCATATTGTAAAACTTTTTTACATTACAAATGTAATTTAACTTACGATAACTTATCAGTTATTATTTTTATTAGGTTATAAGTTAATGTATTATAAAAGATTATCTGTAATTACTTTATAAATGTTTTGATTGTGTAAAAATATATACAAAAACTTAAACTCGAAAGAAAATAAAGGCACGAAAGCTATGTGTTACAGGTAAGAATCACAAAGTTACCATTTCTACTGATTATATTGCACTCTGAATATGATCAAATCCACCACTGATTTAACACCTCAACCAAAAATTGCAAAGTATTTTTCTACATAGTTTTAAGTAATCATAATTAAACAGAATTAATACATGATCAGAAGATGAACTGGTGCTTGATGATAAAACATGTAAGCCAAGTAAGACGATCAAAAGCGAGCATCAATTTGAAGATCATAGGAAAAAACAGTACTCTGCTAAAAGTTCAATACTGTAAAATGATTACTAATTAGCGATCTACATCGAACTAAAATTTAAAAAAAAATGAAAATTTAAAACTGAAACGAGATCTTCATGTAGAAGCTTTATCAACTGATCAAATACTAGAAATTTCACCTTATTTTCAAAACTTCGAAGCTCAATAAGTGATTAGTGAGCCAAAATAAATACTATAACTTCACAGATCAAAGATATAGTCAATAATAATACACATAGAGAGTAAAAGAGAGATCGATGGAAAAAAAACAGAGAAAATGATGAGTTCTTACCCGAGGGAGAGAGACGACGATTTTGATTTTCGCTACTTTACTTTTTGGAGTGAAGCTTTTGTTTTTGTTTCGAACTTGGAAAAAGTGCCAAATGATTTAAGAGAGAGAGAGAGAGAAGGATGAAGAAAGATTCTGGAGAAATTGTTGGTATTTAGTAGCAGAAAAAAGGAAAGAGGAGAGAGACCTTTGCTCTTCTTTGGGTAGTAGAAGAGCGGTGGGGGCCAATGAGGAGGTGGATTGGCTGTGGGCGGGGGCCACCTCTATTTGGAATTCTATTGGAGAATAGTTTTGTTCAAATGTTGCCCGCTTAACCCTACTTTTCTAACATTTGCCACTCATTTCTTGTATTATTACAAATTTATCTCTAATCTCTTTAGTATTTTAACTTGTTTTCCATACTGTTCCAATTTAATTCTTCTTTTCAGCCCAATTTATATAACGCGCTCAATTTTATGCAACTTTTATAAATTACATAAATTCAAACTCATTTGACGTTTTAAAATCAAAATCTAATAATATGATGCTTTGACAAACTTTTTAAGTAGTATACTAGTTTATGCGTGCGTCTCTTGTAATATTAAATATGGGTTTTTAAAATTTTATCCAATCAAACACTACTATATAAATTAAAATGCCGACATATTTGGTTAGTTCAACATTTAAAATTATTAGAAAATTCAAAGATTTCATGAATGGTGACTAAATTTAAGCTTTAATTTGCAATGTTGTTTACCGGGTATTCTATTTGATATAAATTAGAAAAAATATAGTAATTTATCTTTAGATTTGTTAACATTATCTCAAAATCTTATAAAACACCATGATCAACTCCTTGCCACTTTTATCAATGCGATTTGAAATGTGCTACCAAGATCAAAATTTGCATTAGTGAATTAATTATGCTTCAAGTTGAAGCTAATTGAAATTAGCATGGATCGGAAATAGGAACTATTGTTATAGTTTTAAATTTTAACCAGACAATTCTTTAATCAAATTATCGTTAAGCTAATACTAAAAATATATTCTAATGATCGTAGTTTCGTCACGTTCCAACACATGATCTAAATTACATGGAAAAAAAAAGATTTTGCACTCTTCATGCTTTTCTTTTTCGTTATTGTTGAACCGTCCCTCCTTAGAAAAGTTAAAAAGAAGAGGTTGATAATCATTTTGTATCATTCACATTATTTTTAAAATTGGAGCTTAAAAAATAAAATAAAATAAAATAATAAGGTTAATCTTGTCAATACAAAAAGATTAGGCAAAGTTCTCTTTTTGGAGGTGAGGTGGTGACGGCCACTTGATGACCGACCAAACCGCCCTTTCCTAGCTAGTCTTCTGTCCCAACGATGAAGACATTATCCTTTTCCTTTTTGGATTACCAATTTCTTTACAGCACCCACATTTCTGTTAATTACTCATCTCCCCCTTTGATTCCTCATTTTATGTCTTTTACATCCATCACACATGGTAATGAAACCATTAGTAGTAACTATACTATTTAGTTAGGAAAAAAATTATGTGTATATTATATGTTAGAATTTTATTGACTTCTTCGTGTATTTTTTTCTTTATATTTTGATTTCTTATTAAAAATTCTAATTCCGTTGCTGACACAAATAAATAGAACATGCAACAAAAATAGTGGTTTGCTTATGAGACAATTTTTAGTTAATCGAACTATCTATACGGAATATTAGATGAAATGTCTTAATCTATTTCCTCATCTTCTTCCTTGAAATGAGTCTTTCTTTTTAGGATTTTTTTTAGTTTATCAAGGACATGACCTTTGATAGGAGGGTATACAGAAGTCGAAGATTAGTGTAGAAGGGTAATAGGTCATAGTGTGTTTTTCTGATTCATTCCGGGTTTATTAGGGCTAGCTTGCTAGTACATTGTCATTGATTATCAGAGTGCTAGTATTAGGGTTGTTTTTAGTACTATCATTTTCTAGTACCTTATCGTTGCTATTGCTTGTTGCTATTGCTATTGCTTTCTTCCATATGTTTTCCGGTTCATTCATTGTTGGTATCATTTTCCTGGCCTTGTTGTTGATATTTACTTGTTTCTATTCTTGCTCTCGAGCCGAGGGTCTTTCGGAAATAACCCCTCTACCTCCCTAGGGGTAAGGGTAAGGTCTGCGTACGCATTACCCCCCACAGACCCCATTTCTGGGATTACACTGGGTTGTTATTGTTGTTGTTGTTTTTTGTATTATGTTGTACACAAATTAAACTTCCCTTGAATCTAGAGAAAAATGTTTTACGGTATAGAAGATGGCAGACAGAGGCAGATGTAGCGTACTAGCTACGGGTTCAACTGAACCCATACCTTTCGACGCGGAGTAAAAATTTGTATGTAAAAATTCATTAAAATTATAAAAATAGTAGATATGAACTCATAACTTTAAAAATATAATGGGTTTAATGTTAAAATTTTTAAAATTGAACCCATAGGATTTAAATTTTGGATCCGTCTCTGATGGCAGATACGTAGCATATAATATCAGATAGCGATGCCTTAAATTTTTGAAATAGCCAACATATAATATGCTGATACCTTCAGAACCTCAGAATTTGCCTATTGATCAAGTACTCTATGTAATAGTCAAGAGAGTATAATAATACAAATACAATGACATTTTAGATGTAAGAGTAAACGGAAATACATTAATCAATATAATCATATCTGAATGATTAATGTATTTATCTTTATTGCTCATATTGTAACGTCCAGTCTGAAATTTGAATGGTACGTAGCCAAGCTAATTAAGCTTCTTAATTATTGGTCATAACTCTTTTCACGATAATAGCAAACTCGCACTAGAAAGGATCACATCTCTCCTCAATAATACTAACAAGTACCTGCCAAAAATTGTATCCTTATTTTTTCTTTGATTTTTCATTAATATGTCGTGTCCATGTTAGTTGGATTGTCACTCTTTTCTCACCCTTTACCTTCGTAATTTTACATTTTCATAATTGTAGTACTCGTTGCATATCTGGCTTCAAATGAAACAAAATCTTAGACATGTGATTTAATTCCCTTACATTAATTTGTCTTCAACAATTAGCTACACGGCAGCGCAACTCATATGGCACTTGGAATTTGTTTAGTGTTTAAAATTACTTTGTGAGAAAACATTTTTAAAAATATTTTATAGTTTTTCCTGAACACTACTAATGGGTTGTTTTTGTTTCCGGAGTATGTTTTGGTTTGTTTCCAAAATATCATACAATATCAGCAACAACAACAATAATTATGTCTTAATTCCAAGTTAGTTGGAGTCACAAAATAAATTTTATACTATTTGTCAATTTACCCTGCGATCCTCCTATTTTATAGGGGCTTAGGATAGTATACAGGCAGAGTTTTTCGAAATAATTAGATGATTTGACTTTAGTAAAAAGTATCTTTACACAAATAACCGGTCGGATTTACTGTTTATTTTTTTTAGTCGTTTTACATTGAACACATATATATGAATTATACATGTATTAGATATCCTGCCGGCTATTTTTTTGTTTTTATTTTGAATGGGCAGCTATTTCAGTTAATTCTTCGGAGTAAAATGGACAAACAAATAATTAGAGAAAATACATGGAGTTAAATGAATATACGGTCTGAAAGAAAGAAAAGATTCAGGTCTCTGACTAAATCATAGCCGGCCAAAGTGAACTTAGACCAGTGGTTCAATATTAGAGTTGAATTTCTGGAAAGTTTGTTTAAATGGTCAAATTGATTCCCAAAAAAGCCAAGTTGCCAACTGCGGGCGCTGCCAATTAGCTGGAATTTATTTCATTGAAAAGACCATAGTCAAAGAAAATATCTAATTTTTAAGTCATTAAGTTTGTCTTAACACAAAATATAAGAATTTTTTCGCATGCAACAACTTGGGTTGTTGTCGTGAGAAATGCTTCCCGTCTCATATTAGCAGTCGTGGTTACTAAAAATAGTTGTCTCAGATTATTTGTCATTTTAAAAATTCAAGATAAAATTGATTATTTTTTTCTTTTTTACCCTTAGTAATAATTGTTCTTGAAGATGTACATAACACATAAATATAATAAATATTTAATTAAAAAAAATTATATCTTAAGACATAAATAATGGCAGAATATTCTAATCTCTTTCTTAATTAATATATTTTAAGGGCGTATAAAAGAGAAACACGACACATAATATGAGACAGAGGAAGTGCAAATTTAAGAATTAAGAATTTCAATTCTTATTTATATTTCATGGTAATAGTCTGCCACGGGATGATACAGGAGATGCTGAACCTCAATATATTTTTCATTTTAAAGGACTGTTTAATGTTACAAAATAAATTTTGTTATTCATTGCAAACTACAAATTTAGTCTTTTTAGTCGATAAGGAAGAAAATTTGTGTATTTGTTTTTGGAGTTTATTTTGAAACTAAAATCAGTAGACAATCTTGCATAAGAACTTATTCAGATGCTAAACTACTCGTGGAACAAAAGCAAATAAGAAGGAGAATGCGTCAACCAAGATTCTCAACCCCCCCCCCCCCCTCCAAACCCCAATTACGGCGGAATTAGTAGTCCGGCTACGGTTTGGAGAGAATTCATTAGCTTATGTTCAAACAGTGTATTTAATTTAAGAAATTTATTAAATATGTGTAAATATTATTTAAATCCCAATTATTAAAACTTGAATTTGTCATTTCAAAATCCAGAACTCATAATATTGAAATTTTGGTCCCCCTTTGCCCCACCCCCAGCCCCAACTCATATGGTCAAAGTGAATAAGAAAAGAGGAAAGAAATGTGTGTCTTTGTCTAGAATGTTAGGTTGGTTACAGAATATAGACGAGTTGTTTGAAGTTGAAAGTAGGTGTTTAGGTAAAAGAAAGCACAAATCTAAGAAGAAAATTTTTGTTTACATATATTCTAATTAATCATAAATAGTTTCAAGTAATCAATTAATTTACTAGTTAAAGAGTTTTCTAATAGAACTCAAAATTGATTCATCAAAGAGCTATAGCCCCTTTTATGTTCTTAGTTTTTTGATATACGAGGATTAATCTTGAATCTTTCGTGTTCTCCGTTTCAAATTCGAGTTTCTCTGCAAGAGTTTTATATGGTATTTCTCAAGATTTTACTTTATTGGGCCACATAAAAGATAATTACATATCACTAAAACATAAGATAAGATATCATATTTATGATTCCAGTCGAGAAGACTAAAACAATGAATAAGTTAATTTTTTCCAAAAATAATGGCAAAACTAAATCCAAGCAGTGCACTGAAAATAAGTTAAATTTTACTGCTTAGTTTGTCACCTGTCTAGTAGTGCACTAAAAATTGCAGTCACTTTAATTTACTATAGTTAAATGATTTAATAGGGTGAGAATGTATGTAATTGATTAAGTGTTTGATGTCCGTGCGTCAAAACACATGTCATGCATCTATTGGTTTAAAGTAAATATCGAGTACGGATAAAACTTTTATTAAAAAGAAACATCAGAATCTGTCTTCTTATTTAGCTCTAACTACTCTGTGTTAATTTATTTTAGACCAACATAACAACATAAAATCAAACAAAACATTTCAGCTACATGATAAAGCACTCGTATATTAGTCAAACTACAACCGTCATATTTGTATTTTTTTTCATGTGTGAATAATTTTACCAAAATGTTATTGACAAAACGAGAGTTTTAGAGGAAAAAAACTGTGAAACATACAAGCTGGAACATATGAAAACTCAAAAGTTACAGCATATATATATATTAAAATTACGATAATACTCGTCCGCATTTGATGCAACTGGCTTGGGAAAAATTTGTAATACAGTATATTGAGTGACAACTGGTGAAAGGGGTAGCCATCTTCAATTTATGGGTCAAAAGCTGGAATTTTACTGCAAACAGAATTACAATATTTCTTACTTCATTCATTCTGGACATTTACAGTATAGCCAAGAAATTTTGGTTTTAATTGTTGCTTGTTTATCTGTTTTTTTCGCCATCATCAAGCTTTTTCTGTCAACTATTACTTCCGAGACTTGAATTCTTCCACCCTTTTTTCAGTTTCCTTTAATGCTTTCCCATAGATGCTAATCAACTGCACAGACGAGAATGGTTTTACAGCTTTTCAGATTTCATGAGATGGTTTAGATTTACAACAAGATAAGAAACATTAACAGAGAAGGGCAGCTGCTACATCATCAGCAAAGCTATCGACCAGAGACACACACACACAAATGTATATTAAAATGCAAGCCATAAACATACCTCATCAAGTTCTTCTGGAGTCACTATAAATGGTGGAGACATCATTATGGTATCACCAGCAACACGTACCAACATACCATTCTTCTCACACTGTGCTCCAAAATATGCACCAATACCTGAACATCAATGAGCAATTAGAATGAGCTAAGAGTTTAATGTGACCTTTGATTGGAGAGCCAATGAAGAAATTTCATACCCCATTCAGGAGGGAAAGGATCATTAGGAGATTTGTTATCCGCAAACTCCGTTGCGAGGATCAAACCAGTTCCCCTAATCTACAGAAAAGTAAGAGGGAAGCAAATATATAATTAATCGTTAGGAAGTTTTGGCACAACTTTTATACAAGTGATTAATTCTACCTCTCCGACTATGGGACTGTCAGAAAACGCCTTCAGACCTTCTTGGAACTTTGGGGATATTCTATTTACTTTCTCAACAATATTTCGTTCCCTGAAATAATTTGAACAGTTTCAGAGCTTTAGCACTAGCTAAGTACAATAGCTAATTAGGGGAAGTACAATTTTAACATAATTCTTGATTATCAAGCCCATTATCTATGTACTAAAGTGCAGAGTTGTCAGCAATCGACAATGCTACAATAAACAGACTGTACTAGCAGACAAGTCATATGCAAGTTGCAAATAACGGTAAGAAATTATAAGCACATGTTCATACAATCCAAAACTGGAAGAAAGGAAGTTGAAAGACAATTGGAAGCATACGTACTTGTAGATCTTAAGAGCTTCCAATGCCACCGCGCATGACACAGGATGCCCAGAATATGTGAATCCATGAGAAAAGGAACCTAGTTCCAGAAATACTTTCAGTGCTTCGGCTAACAGACAAAAGGAAATGATTTGTTATGCTATCAAACTAATAGTAAGCTCACCAAGTTTATTGCTTTGAGAATATATTACATCAGAAACTTCAGGGCTTACAAGGACAGCTCCAATTGGCATATATGCAGAAGAAAGAGCCTGAAAAACAATTCAGGAAAGAAAATTTATAATCCAGATACAAGTTGGGATAGCCGAGATAGGATGTTGTTTAATCTACCTTGGCTAGGGAGACAAGATCGGGCTTGATGTTATACTTGTCACAGCCAAACATTGTTCCAAGCCTCCCAAAGGCACAGATGACCTCATCCGCTATGAAAAGAATGTCATATTTCTTCACCACAGCTTGGATCTATAAAAGAAAGGGAGAAATTGCTGTCTCAGTTGTATAGAAGCATAATCTGTAGGAATTAAAATATATAACTGCAAAAACTGCAAGGAATAAATAGCTGATTGCCTTCATTCTTCAGAATCACACAATAGAAGAGCTCTTACATCCTAGATTGAGCATTGCATGCCGCATTTTAAGTAGTAATGCGAAAAACTAGCAATGCAATAGCAATATAGCTTCCTCCCACAAGAATGAAAAGGAGCAGACAGAAGGCCAAAAAAAAAAAAAAGAAACAACTACCTTGTCAAAATAAGTTGCTGGAGGAGGTATGACACCTCCTGCCCCCATGACTGGTTCAGCAATGAAAGCAGCTATCTGAGGTGAAAAAGTAAATTAATCAACAATAAATTACCCTCAATGCAGAAACTGAGCAGCAGTGAGTTAAAGTTGACAGTAGTTACTGTTTCAGGCCCCTCTTTGAGGATAAGATCTTCCAGATTTTTAGCCAACCTGGTTGAGAACTCCTCCTCCGTCTCACCTGACCGATACATTTCAACAAAAATGGTATATTACACCATAAGAACAGGACAAACCTAAGAGCCAGTAAGAATAAGTAATAACCTGGCAGATGATAGCGCCAATAATGAGGGCAGTCAGTGTGCAGTACAAATGGAGCAGGAAGATCAAATTTTTGATGCAGTGCAGGAAGACTGCAAAAGAAAGTATTAGCCAAACAGATACTTGAAACACAAAAATAAATCTCAGCGATTTGATTTCCAATAGTGTTTATTATATTACCCAGTGAGACTGGCAGAAATAAGAGTTGAACCATGATATCTGTACAATGAATGAGCAAAAACATTATGTAAGCTTAAGGAAAAAAGGAACAGAAAACCAAAAAAGAATAAACAGTTGAGGTCTCAGATTACGCTTTTGCTCGAGCTATAAATTTCTTTTTGTTAGGCCTTCCAAGAGCATTGTTGTAATACCATACCAGCTTCACCTACAGTTGAGGTACAAGGGTAAAAAGCTACATATTATCCTCATATACTTCTTTAGATAAGATCCTGCTATTGGTTATCACACTTCTACACAAAAAAGAAAATCTCAACTATTGTATTCATTTTCATTAAAGTTTACAGAACTGTCACATGCAGAAAAAATAAAAAATAAAAAATAAAAGCAAATGTCCAATGCTCTTTCACTATCCCCAAAAGTATGGACTGTTCTGATGGTTAGCAAGTGTTTTAAGAAAATACCTGCGCTGCAGCTAGATTATATAATTAAGTGTTTGAAGTAAGGGTGGCATGTGGGCCGGTTAGGACCGGGACCGGCCCAGGACCGCAAGCCCAAATGGGCGGTGGGCCTAAACGGTCCTAACCGGATAGGACCGGGACCGTGGGGAGGTGGGCTGGGTAGTGGGCCGGTCCCATAGGTGAGGCCCGCGAGACCGGGACCGGTTGGGAAGTGGGCCGGTTCAAGCGGTCCTAAACGGGCCTATCCGGGCCCAACGGATAATTTTTTTAAATTTTTTTTTTTGACGTTTTGGCCATTTAAAAACTAGCCGTTGGCTATTTTGCAAAATAGCCATTTAACCACCCAAACTCTGTTTTAACCCCAAACTTTTTATAATTACACTTTTTCCCTATTTTCAACTATAAATACCCCATCATTCTTTCATTTTTCTCACAAAATCATCAATCTCTCTCAATCTCTCTCTAATATTCTTCTATAATTGCTTACTTAATTGTTCCAATTTGTGCAAAATTGTGAAGTTGGTGAATTGAAGTCTTCAAGTCTTCAACGATAATTAATTTTCAACAAGTTGTTCGTCAATTCAGTAAACTCGTTCCAACTCTTAAGTTTTAATATTATAGTTTTGTTTGTTTTATTTACTTTGCTTGATTAATTAATATGGCTTATTCCTTAAAAAAAATGTTTAGTAAAAATAAGGGAAAATCCAAGAGTGGTGAATCTAGTGGCCAATCTGTTCCTCCTCCACTTCCCCCGGCTCCCCGACCCAAACCTGTTACCCGTCCTACACCTCCTATTCTTGATAGCGATAATAGTTTATTACAATTTACCGAGAGTCAATTTTGCCATAATATTGCACCCGGTGAAGAATTAAACCATGAATATATGAATACTATTTATGATAATCCAACTATTGATGAAAATGATGATGAAGAAATAGATTTTGATGAAACGTAACCGGATGACGATACACCCACTAGTTCTGCTCCTGAAGTTAACCCAACTAATAATAATCCAAATGATGCCCCGTCTGACCCTCCTGTTAATATCCCTACTTTTTCTAGACAACCTTCTAAACGGGCAGAAACATCTGTTGTTTGGCCATTTTTTACTCAACTAAGAGAAAAAAAATAGGGCTAAGTGTAAAACTTGTGGCAAAGCGTTAGTTTTTAAATATGTTGGAAGTCGGGGGGACGGAATGTTTGACTAGACACATATTGCTACACCCTCAAGATAAAGCTAGATATTTTCGTATGAAAGCTTTGGCCGAGGGGACAAGTGCACCTAGTCAGGCTGACCTTAGTACAGGGTCAAATCAATTTCAACCGGGAATTAACACTGTTACCGGTGGTATTTTATATTATGATCCAAAAAAAGATCGGGAAGAATTGGCAAAAATGGTTACTGTTATGTGCTTAACCTATAGTTTTCCTTCTAACCCTCACTTTGTGCATTATATTAGAAAAGTTTATAATCCTACTTATAAAGGTTTTCCTCGCACAACCGTAAAGAGTGATATTTATAAATATAAACATGAATATGAACAATATTTGCGCTATTTATTTACTCATATAAATTGTCGTGTTGCTATTACAACTGATATTGGTAGAAGTGGTAATGACTGTGATTACCTTACTGTTACCAGTCATTGGATTGATGAGGATTGGATAATGCTAAAGCGCATTATTGCTTATAGAATAATTAATTCACGTCACACAGGGCAGTTTATTTCTAGCACGATTACGAATATTTGTAGATATTTTTGCATTAGTGATAAAATAATATTAGTTTCAAAGGATAATGCTACTAGTAACACAAATGTTGTAACCTTACTTACCACTACACTAAATCCTGCATTTAGTAACATTTTTCATGTTTGATGTATTTGTCATATTTACCATTTAATTGTGGGTGATGGTATGCGAATTTTAAATGTTGAAATTGAAAAGGTTAAAATGGCTCTTAATTGGCTTTTTTATTCAAACCGTAGAAGTAGACTTAGAGAATATTTTAAAAGATGCGATGAATTTGGCCTAAGAGAAAGAAAGGTTCCTAAACCTTGTCCAACTAGATGGAATTACATGTATGAAAGTTTAGTTGTTGCATATGAATATAGAAACCCCATAAACTCAACGTTTAATGCTCATGTAAGTGATGATGATGAGCACCTTACAAATGCGGATTGGGCTAATGTTAAAATGCTTGTAGATTTTTTAGAAAAATTTCATATTGCTACAAATGAATTTTTTGGGCAATATTATCCTACTATTTCTAACTGTTTAGTTTATATTGCAGAACTTGCAAATTTGTTTGATCATTTTTCAGAGGGTGGGGAAATTTATCAACTTGCTATTGATTTTATGAGAAAAAAGTTTAAAAAATATTTTTTTCATATTCCCCCTTATTTATGGTGTTGCTGCATTGTTAAATCCTACTATGAAATTAGGAGGTCCTCAATTTTGGTATGAAACTGTTTATAATGGTTTAGCACTTGAAAATGAGGAGTTGTCTAGACCAAATGTTCCAACTCCTTCTTCTAGTTCTCAATCATCTAAAAGAATTGCGGGAGTAAGAGCACTTAGTGCTTGGACNATTTATAATGCTTATCAAGTTGCATTAGATCATGCTAGACCAAATGTTCCAACTCCTTCTTCTTCTAGTTCTCAATCATCTAAAAGAACTGCGGGAGTAAGAGCACTTAGTGCTTGGGCAGGGTTCAGGGGTTCTCAAGGTTCTAGTACTAGTGATTTTTCACAACTAAATGAGCTTGAAGTTTATTTGTCACAGGGAATTGAGGAAGTGAATCCCGACGGCTCCTTTAATATTTTGGAATGGTGGAAGGACAAAGAAAAACACTTTCCGATTCTTTCAAGGATGGCCCGAGACATTTTAACTATTCAAGATTCAACAGTGGCATCAGAGAGCGATTTCAGTCAAGTAAGACTTCAACTCGGTGATTATAGAGCGTCTATGAGGGAGCTTGGAAAAATCAATACTTTTCAGAGATTGGATCCGTTCGGAAAGAAGAAATTTTGGACTTCTTGAATCATAACCAGAGGTAGACGAAGCTTACGAAGAAATGCTAGCTGAACTTGCGGAGGATGATGCTTCGTCTGGAAGCGGTGATGACCAAGCTTCTTTTCCGCCACCACTAACGGAAATTCCTCCGGACCTTGAAGGATTTATGAAATTTGTAAGAGATACCATGTAAATTAATATGTAACTTGTATTTTGGCACATCTTGATTAATTTCTTTTTCTTTTCAATGGTGGTATTAGCACATTGTTGTGCTCATTCCATAGGGGGAGGAAGACTAAGAAAGATATTGCCATGATATTTTAATGCTATAATAAAATTATAACGCATTGCTTTAAATATCTCTTTAAAATATTTTTTTCTTTAAATTTGAATTAAAAAATTTAGGTCACAATTCTATAAAAAAAATAAAAAGTATCTACAACAAGATGTATATATCTTAAGATGTATATATAGTATAGTATAGTATATATATAAGCTTATATATATATATA